AAGGGCTTATTGCTGTTGGATCAGTGAGTTCAAAGTAGCAAAGGGAGACTGCAAATAAAGCTTCTCGTTGTTGTTTACCCAGCCTCTCCCTCCTCACAAAGATGCACATTCATATTCCTACAGCTCATCCCATCTAGTGTTCAGGATGCATCTCCCAGCCCGTCCGTCAATGTGCTTACATCCCTCAGGAATTATAACTGTCTGTGATAGCAGTTGGAGATAAAGTAGAAAGATCTGTACATCAGGAAGGATATAAGGGAAAGGAGTAGAGGAGTAATAAAATGTTAATGGTCCCAGTGTATAGTTCTTATTTTTATCTTTATGGATGAGGAAACAAAATGAGGTCTGATGACTGAGGAGCGGCATTTGGTTTACCACTGATAACAAGCTTTAAATGCATTATAGTAATAAAAAAGGTAGAAGAAAAACAAGAGCTTTAACCTGCAGAGGCAGTAAAGAACACTACCTCTTGGTCACATGAATTTAAGTAAATAAAACAAAGTGGGTGAAAACTCATTGATCAAACTGATCCAAAATCAGAAAGATAAAACAAAATTGTTTAATTAGTGTAATGTTTATCTATGACATGTGGTGCCCAGCTTTTTATAAAGTAACACATCTGTAATAAACCAATAATAGCAGATGAATTTTCAGGCTGTCTGCTAATGAAACTCGCATCTACAGAGTTGTACTTTCAAAATGACTTTATTGCAACTGGAAAACTGGTTAAAATTCATTGTTGTGGGTTTTACTGCTGAAAATGACCCAAAAAGGCTGCTGCATCATCATTCCCCAAGGTTTTTGTTGATTCAAGTCTTTTTCCCAAAGGGGTTCTATAGACTCCAAAGCATTGAGAAATAATTCCCCCCCCAAACAAGAAAAAAAACACATAATTTGCATGAGAAAGCAGAGTGCAAGCAAATCAGTTCGCAAAACTCCCTGCTTCTGTTTGTAAGAGGCAATCTCTAGTGTCATTCTGCACTTAACCTTTTTATCCAATTGTGCACACCTTAGTGGTCAGAAAAACATACCAGGGCAGTTAAAGGCAGAAAAGCTGAGCTAGAGCTGTGGTATGTCTATCTTGTGCATTCTATAAATTCCAAACAGATTTATGTGATGTCTTGAGTCATTTAAAAGGAGATTTTATATGTCAGGACTAGACACACTGACACAGAAAGGGACAAAACACAAGGGTCTGAATCAGGATGCCCCTTCTTGAAGCCCTGACATCCGTCAGGGCGGTTCAGTGGGCACCCGCCCACTGAACCGCATGTTCACATGAACACTGACACACAGGAACACACTAATAAGCCTTCAGGGAACAGCAGGGTCATCAACCGAGTGAAAGCACAAACATGTCGCCTAAAGCATATAATCGTCTGCCCAGTTATGGCAGTTTCATGTTGCATTACTTAACAGATATGCAGTTCTGTGCAAATTTTGATTTTTCTCAATTCAGGGCTTTAAATTTAGATATGACCTCCTTTTTTCAGTTTTGTCATCAAAAACAGAAAATTTCAAATGTTATTGTTTTTAGGATTCTTTTTACATTGAAAATATACAAAGCTGCCCCAGGAATGATGAAGAATTCAGAGTTGATGTTCACATTCCTCGAATGGGATCCATTTGTGTGCCTATAGGAGGCGCTGTTTCTTCTGGATCCCTGAAAGGTGATTAGATTATTTTCTTTTTTTCTTTTAACCACAATATAGATAGTCTTCTACTCCACTCCTAGGTGTCCAGATTCCTGCACCTTTTATACATGTCTTTGCTGCAACACATTTGAATAAAATAAACAGAACATTAGCATAACTTTACTGCAAACTGAGGAAATAGTATAGCCATTTCACTCAGGTATGCTTAAGCAGGGACACAGCTGAAAGGTGGAGGAAACTGGACTGTAGGACTTCCAGTGAAGAAGCCTGACATAGATGAACAAGAGCATACAGGGAAAATCCTTTGTAAAACACAAGAAAATATTAAAAAATGACTTTTTTAAATCTATTAATCTGTTTTAACAAACAGAAATTAAAAAAATATATATTTTGTAGTTTGCCCTCAAATGAAAGCTAAATAAATATGATTTCATTGGATTATACAAGCAAAAATATAAGATAATCTCTTCATTTTTTAATGGTTTGTTTATATAATTTTTATCACAGTATATATACAGATAGATAGATAGATAGATAGATAGATAGATAGATAGATAGATAGATAGATAGACAGACAGACAGACAGACAGACAGACAGACAGACAGACAGACAGACAGACAGACAGACAGACAGACAGACAGACAGACAGACAGACAGACAGACAGACAGACAGATAGATAAAATATGTAGCTACTTTAAATTATATATATTCTAATATGACACTAATTACAAAACAATGGAGTCAGATTCAGTTGGATGTTTTATGGTAAAATTCTGTCTTAATGAGATTCGTGGAAAATATTATGCATCCATTTTTTTCCTTATTTTACTTTACTGTATTTTATTCATTTGTTTATCTATCAATTTATCTATTTATTTTCCCACTTCCTTTCTTTTTTTACCCCTGTGGGGGTGTTTTGTCAAGTCGCTACTATTGCTCTATTCCGTTGATCTCTTTTATCATTGCCATTATTATAATTTCATACTTTAACTTGTAAAGTTCACGTCACAAACTGTATTCTGGGAGAGTGGAAATAGGTTTACATTTGATTTATCAAATTTGTAAACTATACGGTTCGCTCTGTTAAATGTATGTATACTTCTGTACGGATCACCTTTCAAAATAAAAAATAAATAAAATCTGTTGTTTGCATCGTAACACTAAATTTGCAGTAATCCCTTAAATTCTGAACATTCATGTTGCAACAGCAAAGTTCTGTTGGAAGAATCTGATGTGTTAAATTAATAAAAACTCATAATTGATATACTCTCTAAAAATGACACTGCCAATCTCAGGGTGTACTTTAATGTACTTTCATGTTGGCGCAGAGAAGAAACAAGAAAAATGTCATGGAAAGCTTTTTAAGGGGGCTGATAACCCAAAGAAAATTACAAATGAGCTCTTAGTCCTCATAAATTTATATTTATCAGTATAAGCATCAGAGGTTTAGTATTGGAATATAGTAAAAAAAAAAAAACAAAGCATCCAGGTTAACCAGAGAACAACCCAACTCCATAAAAAATAAATAAAAGCAGGCCTGTTGTGGAAAACAACCTACTTACTCCTGAGAGACACTGAAACCAGACTGTTGAACATAAAATACATTCAGAAAAAATCCCTTCCTTCCACTGGATCCCATCCATCTCATATGACACATATTTCTCTATCTGCCTTGCAGACATCTAAATCCATCAGTCTGTACATATCTGTCTGTGTGTGTGTGTGTGTGTGTGTATCTGAGGGGGGATTGAGGCTACAGTTTGCATGACGTCAGACCTCCATTCATGAACAACATCCTCCTCCTCCCCTTCGTCGTCACAGCGTAGCTGTTAATGTGATACAACGCACCACGTGGGAGTCCTTACCCCCCTTTCCCACCAATCAGAGCGCGGCGATTAACGGAGCAGACATGAGAACCACATGATCCTACACCTCCACATGTCTGGCTTAAGAGGTTTTACATGCTCTGGTTTCACATGATGTTTCCACAGAAAGTCGGACACCAAGCGTTATCCTATGGCTGTACGGGGAAAGGGATGGCTAAAGATGAAAAGGAAAGAATATACATATATAGTAAGGGTGGGGGGGTGCAAGCAAGAAAATAATAGAAGGTAGCACCTCATGAGGAGAGATAGGAAGGACTGGCAGAGGAAGGGATAGACACCATGACTCATCTCTAGTTTCATACCCAGTGGGAGGAGGGGATATATGAGCATCAGGAAGAGGGACAACTCAAAGGATGCTGAGCATGACTTCAGAGAGAGGAGTCAGTGTGTGCCCATGATGTCTTTGCATGACAATGACGTGTGTGAGCTGCATGAGGAGATCTGCTGCCACAACTGGCATCATCCCACCTTCAGCTGACCTATAGAAAACGCCTGGTTTGAACCGATGAGCACTAGTAGAAAGATGGATCCGTTAATGATCCTCCTGCTAGTTATTTTTCTCATAATGCAGAGTTGGAAAAATAAAAACAGAGTAAGGGGAGGGGAGGCAAATGCTCCACTTAAACTCCATTAGTCCTACTTGCATCTGCAGCATCACCATCTGCAACCAAATGTTAAGTGCAAGGGTTTGTTATTGTTGGATTCAGGTGCACACATCCTATAAGACATCCTACAAGCACACTGATACAGGCCTGACTGAGGAGGTAAACAACAGCCACTCCCCCCTATCCCTGAGCCAACCGGAGCTGCACAACACGAAGCAGGAGGGGAGGAGGGTGATGGAGGAAGAGGAGAGGAGTTGCTCTAATTTCTTGATGTGTGCATGTGTGAGCTTGCGTGCTCGGCTTTCCTAAACGCAACGCCACCCACTCACCCCCCACAACCCACCACCACCTCTATATTTCCTCCACTGAGGAATGAAATAAATAAATAAGCCACGCATGTCTACGACGTTGCTGCAAAAATAGTTGATGCCACCACCTCCTTCTCCTCGCGCAACTTTATCACGCATGCATGCAGGAGTCTAGACATGCGTGGCTTGTTTTTTCCACATGTGCGTACGAGTTATTAAAGCGCATATCTCCAAAAAATTTAAAGAATAATAATAATAACTGCACTGTTTTCTTTTTGTTTGTTTTTCTGTTGCATTTGAGCATAACATGAACTTGGACACTCTCCAATAGAAGTTTAGTCCGTTAGTTTATTTATCTCACTGTATCCTTGCAAAGCAAAAGAAAATAAACATCTAAGACGCACATCCGCCTCCAGGACCTGCGAAAGTGCGCACATAGCCACCGGCCTACCGCTGATACAGCTACTTCAGAGGTCCTGAACGCAGCACTTGTGTTATATCACACAGCTTCCATTCATATTAAGCGCGTAAGTGTTGCGCTTACCTTGATTACAGTCAGCTTTGGATACGCGGATGTCCTCGGTCCTGGATTAGATTAGATTTAGGAGATCATTTGGAGCAGGAACATGCAGTTTAACAGCTGAGGGTTGGTGCTGCTAAACATCTCCCCCCCCCCCCCCCCCCCCCACCGGTCTCCACACACACACACCCCGGACACTTGAAGCACTCTGGGTGACAGGACTGTCCCTCTTCCCCTGTCCTCCCCTCCCCTTTGCAGTGCGCGTTGACAGCGCCTCGGATCCCCGCAAAGACCGACAGGAGTCCAAATCCAAAAGAGAAAAAAATGCGTTAAATCCCACTCTTAAAAAGAAACCAGCAAAAGAAAAGTGGAGCAAAAGACTGGTAAAGTCAATACGCAAAAAAACGCAGGGCTATTCCGGGTGTGCCAGGCTCCGAGATACGCCAAACATGGAGCGCATGTCGCATTTTGCAAAAAAAATAGATGAAAAAAAGAAAATCAACCCAAACGTGGAGTGAAAAATCCGTCTGTTTTCCTCCTCAGAGCCAACAGTAGTAGGAGGAGAAGGATGCAGGGAAATCAGAGGAAAGGGGGCGCAGATATAGAAAATAAAAAGCGATTATATGTTTCCACCGGATGAGTCAGAGGCTGTATCGCTCCTTCAGAAGTCAAACCCAGAGGGCTGTGATAGTCTCCACTTGCTCCCCAGGCTTTGCTCTTTGCTCGCCTCCCCTGCGCCGCGCCGCGCAGCTCTGGCCGGTGAATGCGCGCACACACACCGCTCTGCACTAACGCACAGGCGGGTCTCGTCTTGCAACGTATCCCCACCGCTGGAAGGAAAAACATAAAAACCACACCACCGACATGGAAGAAAGGGCAAAGGGGGGAAAAAAATCCGATCTTATCATCTGCTTGAAAACTATTTTGGCGCCATATTTATGGCGTACTTTCAATTCACTGTTAGAGAAAACTGTACTTCCTACTCTGGCAAATGTAAGGTTACAGCGCCCCGGTGAGGAGAATGTAGGTATTTGATTAATTGAGTTTATTTCTATAGCACCAATTCACAACACATGTCATCTAAAGGCACTTTACAGTTCACCGGATCTTACAGTCAAATTTATTCAGAGTTTTCTATCTAAGGAAAACCAGTTGATTGCATCGACTCATTAACTCGAATGCAATCCCTCACGCTAAGCATGCTTGTAGCGACAGTGGAGAGGAAAAACTCCCTTTAAACAGGAAGAAACGTCCAGCAGAACCAGGCTCAGAGTGAGCGGCCATCTGCCGAGGCCGACTGGGGTTCAAGGAGACAGAAGCAGAGATACGAAATGAAGCTCAAGGATTATAGGGCTTATGTGTCAACAGGACTTGGAAAAACTTGTCCATGCTTTCATCTTCAGTAGACTTACTGTAACAGGGTCTTTACAGATCTCCCTAAAATATCAATCAGACAGCTGCAGCTGATTCAGAACGCTGCTACTCAAGTCCTCACTAAGACTAAGAGACTGGATCACATCACTCCAGTTCTGAAGTCCTTACATTGGCTTCCTGTGTCTCAAAGAATTCATTTCAAATTACTTTTGCTAGTTTATAAATCACTAAATGGTTTAGAGCCAAAATAAATTTCTGACCTACTAGTACACTATGACCCCCCCAGACATCTAAGGTAATCTGGGACAGGTATACTTTCTATTCCTAGGGTCAGAACTAAACAGGGGGAAGCAGCTTTCAGTTTCTATGGTCCTCACATCTAGAATAAACTCCCAGAAACCTGCAGGTCCGCTGCTACTCTCAGTTCTTTTAAATCAATGCTGAAGACCTTTCTTTTTGATGTTGCCTTTCTCTAAATGACGTTCATTTCTTTACTGTTTAATCTCTTATACTGAACTGTAATTTTTATTCTTGTGTTTTATTATGTTTTTCATTTTTAACTGTTTCTTCTGTGTTTTTTTATTTTGTTAACTGATTTTATGTGAAGCACTTTGAATTGTCCTGTTGCTGAAATGTGAAGGGTTAAGATTTTTTTTTTCTACCTGATTAACAATGTAACAAAGAAATGTGATCAGTTCATCTCAATCAATAATTAGCTAGTAGAAATGTTACTGCATTTACAGCTCAAGGTCTTTTTGGATGTTGGCCCACCTACCCCGACCCATCCTCACCACCTTCTACAGAAGCCCCATAGAGAGCATGCTAACCAGCTGTCTCATTTTTTGGAGTGGAGGCTGCAGCGCCTCAGACTGGAAGGAGGTGAGAAGAGTGGTGAGAACAGCAGAGAGGATCATCAGAGCTCCTCTTCCCTCCATTAAACACATTTTATCCCAGCACTGCATGGGAGTCGGTCATATCATTAGCAACCCCTCACATTCCCTGCATGAACTGTTCTCCCTGCTGCCCTCTGGGAAGAGGCTTCGCAGCATTCGATGCAGGTCAAGCAGGTTCTGTAACTGCTTTTTCCCCAATGCCATGATTCACTTCAGTTTATTTATGTAGCAGCAATGCACAACACATGTCATCACAAGGCACTTTACAATTAAACCAGATCCTACAGTCAAATTGATTCAAGGTTTTCTATCTAAGGAAAACCAGTTGATTGCATCGACTCATTGACTTGAATGCAATCCCTCACACTAAGCATGGCATAAGACTGTTGAACTGCTGAAACTTTAATCAAGTCACAAATCCAGACTCAGCATCATACTTGTAAACATCATATTTGCACTACATGGTGAATTTTCAAATCCCTTTAAATAGAAGCTCACTCAGTGTTCTACTGCATTTTGCACCATGTTTATTTATTTATGTTGCACTGCTCTGAACCTTCCATATCAGTGCCTTTTGCACCACGTCTTTAAAATAGTTTTCTTTTCTCCTACATTGTTTACACTTTGATCAATGCTGCACTTACAAATGGAAATGTTCACTTCACTGCTAAGCTGCTCGTTCACTTTTGAAAAGTTGTATGCATCGGAATTTCGTTTATACACTGTGTATACAAAATTACAACAAAGTTAGTCGAAGTCTAAAAGCCTCTACCAGTTTTTTATCTATAGAGACTGAGATTTTTACTGTTTTTCAAAACAAAACACCTCCCAATCAGTCAGACTGAGTTTCATTCCATTACATAGGCAGGCTTTAATTGGAGCAAATTTCAGATTGTAGCACTGGCTTTGTGGTTATGGTTAGTGATGGATCCAGTTCAAACCAATGCATCGGTGCATGTTTCACGCTCAGGGGAAACCCAGTGTCGGTGAGCGTCTGTTTCAAGAAAGTCTTGTGACCAATAAAGGCGCTGTTTCGAACTGATGGGCACAGTAAACTGTGTTTAAAAGCGCATCTGTCAATGCAATGCATTTGCCTAAAAAATAATCTTTTGTGGTTTACCATCATATTATTCAAGAGATATGGAGCAGCCTCAAGGCAAAAGAAAGGTTTAAGCCGAGTGGGACCATTTTGATCTCATATTCGTTTTAATTTTCTTGTTGTGTCATCCTTATATCATATTATAGGGCATCAAATCAGAGTCAGTTTAGTTTATCAAAGAGGCTGCCTGTAGTGATTTCAAAGGTCCAGCCAGTGTCAGTATTCAATGACACGGTATCGAGATAGTATCAGTACAGTTTGGCAATGTGTTGAAACGCTTCACGACGCCTCATCAACCCATCACTGTTTAGGTCAATATGTTTCTAGAAGATTCAGCTGTTTCTTCAATCGCCTTCCCATGAATACTGACCGGTTCCCCTGCCTTAGTATATGAAACTCACCCCCAAAAATATGATGGTAAATGGCCTGTACTTATATAGCATTTTTTATATTCAGGAAACAGCACCAAAGCACTTCAGTCATTCACACATTAACGCACACAATCACACACTGATGGTGGCAAATTACATTGTAGCCACAGCTGCCCTTGGGCTCACTGGCAGAAGCGAGGGTGCTGTACACTATCGCCACCAGTCCCTCTGACCACCATCAGTAGACAATGCAGGTGAAGTGTCTTGCCCAAGGACAGGGGCCCGAACCGACAACCCTCCGATTGCAGGGCAAACTCCTGCACCCGAAGCCACTGTTGCCCAGTGATGTTGTCTCCCCAATGGTTTACAGTGAGGAATCTGTGATAGCATTTTGCACTTTTCATTAGTTAGCTTATAATGGGTTTTCTAATAGCCTTATTGAATCCATCAAAGTTGACTTAATAAAATTAATATGGACCCAAAATGTAATTGTAGGTCACTGATTGGTATGGCTTTGTTTTAACTTTCTTCCTTCCATGATCAAATAAAAGGTCAAATTTTTATGTTGTTTCACACACTAGCTTCAATATTTGCAGCATGTCTAGCATCACATTGCATTGCAAAAAATAAAATATACCGTAAGTAAATTTGTCTTTTTTTAATTTAATGTGGAAAGTAAGACACATGGTCAATAAAATAGAATGATTGTGTTTAAAATAAGAAAAACAAGTCCTTTATCTTATTTTGAGGGCAAATTAGGTCACTCCATAGGCAAATCATCTTATCTACCTGGCAAATAAACAAATTTTAATACATCTTTACTTACTTTGAGCTCACTTTTTGCAGCGTGTGTGACCCTTGGCTGCTTCTTTTTTTTAATGTCTTTCTTTTCTAGTTTGTTTGTTGGGGATGACCATGTCTTGAAAAGTGTGTCACTGCACCATACCCCTTTCTTTTTTGGATGAAAGGTGAGTATACTTTCTTAGATGTTCAAAATTTGAGAAATTGTTTTAGAACCCTAACCCTTCTCAGAACTTTTCCATAACTTTCTTGCTGATCTGTCTGTTGTGTTTACTATTCTCTTAACAAACCTGAAGCCCTCACAGAATAGCCAGATTTTACATTGAGATCCAATCACACAGAGGTGGACGGACTGCATTTCCCCAGTTAGGTGAGTTTTATTCCACGTAAATTTCACCTGCGCATCAGATCTTCATGTTTTATGCATGTAACAATTAATGCATCTTTTTTTTTTTTTTTTAGCTCTGTTTCCAAAGTAAAACGGCAAAATTTGTGGTTTAATTTCACAGTATGAGGAAAAAAGTTATATACCGGTAGTTGGTTATTATTTTGCAGAGCATTTAAAGCCACGGCTTTAGGATAAATCCTTATAATCTTTAAATTAGCAAAAAAAAAATTATTTTTTAATCTTCATTTTAAAAGTGCATTATAAATGTATGCTCATTAAAAGCTAACTATCTGAATCATTTAGTGAAATCATCAGTGACTCAAAATGGACTTCTATTTATCAGCACATTTGATCTGATTATGCAGATTAATTTTCTCACGTCTTTTTAGTTGACTTGAAGCTCTTCTCTCTCCTTTTTGATTCAGCCAATTTGACCTTAACCATCGATTAGGAGCCAGAGCTTCTCTTGAAGGGAAAATGAGGGTTCTTGCTCTTACTATAATTTATAAAACCTTTCCAACACGGGCCGGTTGAATGCAAGGTTCCAAAAGTGATGGTTGCCCGGTAAATTACCACCCTTCACAATTCTGCCCCCAACTCTGCATTTAAAGCAGAAAATAGGTGTTTGATCATGTTTAATCTCCTACCATCTAGAGTCTAAATCACAGCCTTCTTTTAGGCAGGTCTACATTTTAACTTCAGGGTAAATTCTGCACAGTCAACAATTCTTACAATTGCTTATTTAGAGATGTCTCATTTTCTGGGTTCTGTAGAGGCTGCCTGCAGATAATGCCAATAAATGTAACTCATCTACGCAAAGCTTTTGAATTTAAACTGACCAATCAGAGGAACACAGGTTTAAGTAAAGTCCCTTGGATGGAAAATTTGAAATATTGTACTTTTACCAAGTACCCAGGCCTGAAAAATTACAAAGGCTGCACCAAATGCATACATGCTCCTTTCAGTTTTATCAAGTATCAAACAGAGGAGAGATGAGGGGTAAAAACTGCATGTGCTGCTGTTTTACTCAAAGTGA